GTGAACCATCCCTAATATCCCATAAAAGCAAAATCAACATTTTTGTGTGTAAAATTAATTTCCCTTAAGTTAAATTAGTTAACTTAATTAAAATAATTTTTAAAAAAAAATTGTAATTAATTAAATGATATATTGTTTATATAATTACATAATTATATATTAGAATATTTTATATATACAAAAGAACAATATAACAAAATATTAGCACAAAAATATTTACAAGATATCAATAAAATATTTCTTGATAAGTTCCAAAAGGTGTCTGCTTCAACACTTCCTGAACATGATAACCATAAACCGGAGTAAAATCTATATATAACATTTTTCAGATGTAACAGAACTGTTCGTCTTTTGCCTTCAAAGGTTTTAGAAGAATCCTCAGCACTGGCAAACCATATCCACCCTAAAATTCCTCGCTGTAACTCAAGCGAGGGTTTCCTGCTCCTTCTCATGCTATTTTCATTTTCATTTTACTTCGACGTGTTGTTGCTTTCCTATTTCACCTCTTATTCTAAAGCCTGAGCCTGTAATTATCAGGACCTGACTCTGGTCGTGCCAACTTGTGCTTGTTTGGAAAAATCCCCCATCAATGGGTGCCCCACACATCGATGTGACAGCATGTCGATGGTAAGGCAAGGTGTGAGAGATTTTTTTACTGCAGTGGAGCAGATCAGGTGTTCCCAGTGATATTATCAGCTCCTGTGACATATTTGTAGAACCAGTATCTCCACCAAAAACAATATCCAGCTTCAGCTAAAAGAAAAAAAAACTTAACATTTTCACAAGGTGGGCGAAAAACATTCACCTTTAAGCTCCAAAGGTCTTAGACAAAATGTTAGATTAAAAAACAACAAACTAAAGCACCAAAACAGTTTCAATTAGTTTTAAAGCAAGACCCCCGAGCTCCCCATCCACCTATTCGACACTGCTTCTCTCTAAGGTGGGGCAGAGGGCTCGGATGCGGTAACACACTGATATCACATCCAGCAGAGCAGAGCGACTAATTCCCGCCACAAACAAAAACAAAACATCTGGAAAGTTGGAGCGCGCGTCTGGGCGCGGGGAGACGCGTCTGTAGTTGCGCGCTGAGCAGCGGTTTAAAGTGCGTCGGCGCAGCCTCCAGAGACCGCAGTCTACCGACGGACACCGGCTTCCTTTGTAATAACTGTAGCATACATAGAGAACGAATGTCTGAAAAAATATTTCCCGTACAAACCTATTAAAAACGGCATTGTTAATGTTACAGTTCAAAAGACGTCTCTCTCCTCTACTGGTACAGTAAACTGTCGCTTTTTGCGTCTTTAAGTGTGTTTACAAACAACATTGTAGTCAGACTCAGTCGGGCTGACATGCATCGCACGCCCACACTCAAAACACTGCAGCAGTGCTCAAGACAGGACGAGCATCCTCAGGCTGCGACAGCAGTAAAACAAGTTTCCAACTCCAGAAAACAGTTCCGTTTATATAACATAAGGCAGTGCGAGTATATAAGGTGCTCTTTAAGTTCACAAACACACACTCAAGCCATCGAGTGCGATAGGAGAGATAAGCGTTCTGCACTGGCTCAGAGACTGCTGTCAGTCATCTGAATCTCCATAGTAAAAGGAAAAAAATCCTAACTCAACAGATTTTTGCGTACAAGTAGCCATATTATAAACGGCAGCGTCAAGTCGATCTAAAATGTTCTGCTGTCACGCGGATTTAATTTGGTGATGTAAATATTTGCACATATTTATACCCTCTTCTTGGCCCAGCAGGGAGAGGTCGACTGCTGCAAACGTCCGCCCAGCACGAACTCCAGCTCGGCTGCCTTACGCAAACTTTACTAAAGTTGAATAAGACTACAGAAAGCAACGTGACAACCTAAAAAGCGTGTCACGCTCAGACAAACCGAAAACTTCTGCTATGACTCGGTGGAAACTGCCTAACTTACCTCCGCTGCTTGTGGAAGTTTGCGTCGCTGTCTCCAGACGGCTCTTCGCTCTCCCCGGTCGAGCCGTACTCGTCGTCCTCTACGGTCACTTCTCCGATGCCAGGGGCTCCTCCGACGCTGTCCAGTGGCCGCTCCATAACGGCAGCATGTTCCGCCGTCTCGGTGTTTGGCGTCGGAGCCACTTCGAGTTCTCTCTCCGAGAGAGACTGACTTTGCAAAGTAACCGTTAACGTTCTCAAAACAAGCAGCAGCAGCAGGGATGTGCATACGTTTCCAAACTGAAACCCCCTTTCCATTGGGACAAGTGGCACATGAGTAGTTAGACAATCACATACCAAAATAAAGTGAATTTTAAAAACTAGTCTATAAAAGGCGTTTTACAATTAAACTCGTAAGCTATTAGATCTCTTTCTGTTGTCCTCTCTTAACGTAAACATGCACTCAACAGCACCATGTTATTCCCTTTATACATGACGTTGGCCGTGCTGTGGTAACGTCAAGCCCCGCCCCGTATCCAAACGCCCATTGGCTGAGCATGGAAGCAAATCCCTGCAGTGTGTGCTGATTGGTGCTAGCGTTTGTCAATCTTCACCGCTCGTCTACTAAGCAGATTTTGATTGCGCCCTACAACTGTCTTTTACAGTGCAGTCTGTTGACGTGGTCGGCCCTCTATCCTCTTCATTCCATTGGGCGCTTTTCTTGTCACCCAGAAATATAGGCGGGAGGAAAGGCAGCCCAGAGCGGGTATGGCCATCTTCTTAAGTATATTATTGGCCACACCGTAGAGTTTTAGCCAGAGAGTTGCGACAACTCCGTTCACTCCAATGGACCAGTTTTTTACAGCAATGGCGGATCGTGGAGCCGCTCAATAGTTCCCGGAAGTTAGCGCTCATACTATCAGCGCCGTAGAGATGCAGCAGAAGAGACTGCTGTGATGAACTTTTAAAAGGTAAGACAGTTATAGAACAAAATAGTATATTATCAGCACAGCTAATCAAATTACCCTGTGCATTAAAACAGATTATTATTAGATTATTCCTCACTTAATTAGTAGATTTACGGGATGTTATTCATTCTCTTCATGCAGTTTCATCCATCGTTGTGTAATTAAGGCTTTTAAAAGTGATTTTGCTGGTGGGGAGTTATTTAATAGACTTGGATATATTGAAAAGGATGCAGATGGACCTAAGTGAGAATGAAAAGTTTGAAATAGACGAGCAGTTTTCATTTCAGAATCATGCTAGGCTAAATTTAAAAAAAAATATTATATACCACTATATTATATATATATATCACAGTAAACCTGTACATTATTACTGTATTTTATACTTAAACGTCTTAGCTACTAAAGAAGTACCGTGTTGAAGGAACAGACTGAGCAGTGATGCCACAGGACTGCAAAGTGATGGAGCATCACTTAACCATTTCTCCTGTTTTTTCCCTTCGCTATCTTGCTTTCAGAACAAGAACCACCTGAAGACTCCCTGTAATGACTCTTATTTGTAATGTAGAAACATTCATTTTCTGTAAAGCTGCTTTGAAACAATGTGTATATTAAAAAGTGCAATACAAATAAATGTGAATTGAACAAAACTTGATGCATCATTTTTTTTCTCCTCTCCAGATCAGTAGGGAAACCATACATTCACACTCCTTTCTGTGAGTGACTGGAGCACTCCCATGCAGCACAGCAAACTATGGAGAGACTGTTCAAGGACAACAGGTTTTATAGTTTATTATAAATGTATAAATCGATTGCTGTAAATAAGTGCATAACAAAAGTCAACATACATAAAATATGTGATTAAATGTGTAAAAATGTTTTAAGTTGTTTTAAATCGGAATATACTACAAATATATTTTTATATATTAATAACTGAGGGGTGCACAAGAATCAAAAACATTAAACAAGATTAGTTTTCACTTAATAAAATACTGTAGCAAGTCTGAAAAAGTGTGTTATGCTGTCAGGTGTGATTTAAGTCAAATATGTTCTGTTCCTGTTATATTTATATAGAGAGGCTGAAGTTACCTTGGCAGAAGACCATGATGTCGTTTATATAGCAAACACGGACTTTTACCATGGTAACTCCCGCCTAAAATATGTTAACAAGGCAGGTAAGGATAGCTGACCACATTAATCCTCAAATATTAGAGGATTTTATCTTTTTAAAACAACACTAATATAACTACATATATATACTACGTATACATTATTTTATAAATAATGTAAATAAATTATTTTATTGTCTACTAATTACCAAAAATCACAGTTCTGTCTCTCCAACTCAATGTATTTCAATTGCCCGCTATGAACTTCCTGGAACTATTTGAGGTCTACGTGAATCACGTGACGATCGAGCGTTTTGGACTTCCGTTGACGCAACTCTCTCTGGCTCTGGCTCCAACATGCTTCATTGGTATGTTTACGGAAGCCGCGAAAGAAGTCTAGTCAACCCATTGGTCTGTTAAGCTGTCAATCAAAATCATCGTTACTGTGATTTCTAACGGAGGGGCTGAGCAAAACTTGATTGGGTAAAAAGTACAAGGATGGAAATAACGACGTGGCCGTTTGTTTGCAGATAAAAGTGAGGTCATGTCTGACAGTTTTAGTTCCGGGACTTTTGGTATGAAAAGAGTAATGTACTCATCCGTTGCGCAAATTGTAGTAAGTTCAGTATTGTCCTTTAATTTTATATTTCGTCACTTATCGGTTTGTAATTACAGCTTAACAACCATAACACTTCTAAAATAATATAAATAGTTTAGGCAACTTCAGCATTCCAGTTCACTTTGTTCACTTTTTGTAGTCATGAAGGCTGGCCATTGCGAAATGTATATGGCGCCCTCTTGTGGTTTGTTAAATAATCTTTTAACCCGTGTTTGGCGTAACTGTTAACTGAGCCACTGAGTCATTTTATAATGTTTTTCTGATTTTGTTACCTGTAATTGTATTTTCAATCATACTCACCCCTGGCATTGATTTTTGTATGTTCTTTCTTGTGGCATTAAAAAAAACGGGTTAAATAAAGTATGTAATGCAAAATAACTAACAAGATACTTTATAGTTGATTGGTCCGGTTTTAATATTGATTTTCAGTCTAGAACATAACATTTGAAAACCTTAGTATCACAGTAAAATTGGTAGAGTAAAACACATGCTGGTATTTTAAGTAGTACCATACCCAAAAATCACAGTGACCTCTGTGAAGAGTTTTCATTAACAGAACTGATCAATACATGTACAGAAGATAAGGCTTTCAAGCTGTGCCACCAACTCACTGCTGCTTTCATCCCTCAACAACAGTGTTCGTGGCCACAGGCACATCGAAAAATTATACGAAAACAAAATCAATATCAAAATCGGAGTAGTATTTCACAACTTCAAATAGTGTATTTTATCCAGGGGCAGAATCCTCTGAAATGATTGATCACTGAACTAAACTAACCGCTGTGTGCTGGCAAAGGCCACTCGTTTTGCTTGAGGTTTCACGTTGGAGCGTCTGAGGAAATCTGTCATAATCAATCAACAAAGCAGATTCAAAATGATCATACAAACCCACAGACACTATACTAACGACGCAATAGGGTGTGACTGAGATTTTCTCAAAAGCTGCATGCATTTGTAAGGCTAGGAACTATGCTTTGTGAAAATATACATTTATGGAGGCACAAACGGAGGCCACAATATTCATACATTTGTACAGACGCCCATGTAAGACAACATTCATGGCTACGTAAAGAAGCACAGAAGGCAAACTAACACTGGCGATGTACCGTATGGACAGTCTCTGTAGACTCATTCCCAACATAAGCAGAATTGTCCAGACAGAGGATATGAGAGGAAAAACGGGTGTATCTGAAGGATCTGAGGATCTAATGTTGCATTGTTGTGTGAAAATCCATATTTCATGTGCACAGCCACATGAGAGGTACTGATCAGACGTCTGACGGTTTCTGTAACAGAAAATAAGATAACCTGTAGGGAAAGAGCTGCCAGAGTCTGTGTATTTGAACGGCACTTGAGGTGTGCAGGCTGGTCTATCACAAGAGCAGAGGAAGATCTTCTTAGTTGATAGGAGGGTCTCTAGTCTTGACACTCCCATCCTCCATACCGAAGTACACCCTCTCAGCCATCCCCACAAACAAACCTGTCTCAACCACACCTTATATATATATATATATATATATACACACACATACTAATAAAAAAGAATAATGATTAACAACCAATAACTTTCTATATATATATATATATATAAAAAAAAAGAGAAGAGAGAACATTAATTTGTGCTTAGCAATACATACACTACTGTTCACTGGTTTGCAGTTGGTACTTTTTTTTTCAAATAATATTTTAATCAGCAGACACCTCAAATTGATCAAAAGTATCAGTAAAGAAGGACAGTAAATATTTATAATTTTATAAATTTATAAAAAAAAGATTTATATTTCAATAAATACCATTCTTTTGAACTTTCTATTTATCAAACAAACAAAAAAAAAGTATTACAGTTTCCAGTTTTTCAACATTTCTTAAGCACAAAATCAGCATAATAAGGCCAGTACACACTGCACCAACAGACACGGACCAATGGCAACAGCCTAATATTGAATCGCTGTTTGTTGGGTTTTGGAATATCTGATAAGTGGAGTAACGCTGCTAAAAATTCAGCTTTACCATCACAGGAATGAATTACATTTTAAAATATATATTTAAAATGAATTTTAAACAGTCATTTTAAATTATGATATTTCACAATATTACCATTTACTCTATTTTTGATCAAATAAATGCAGCCTTGGTGAGCAGAACAGACTTCTTTCAAAAAAAAAAAACAACAACAGAGAAAAGGTTTTCATCTGTACTGACCTGGGATCATCTTGATGGCTGTGTTGACTTCTTTCCATTTCTGTGCATGCTCAAACTTCCAATCCAGGATGAAGTTACTGTTATCAGTAACCACTGGACCCTAAAGTTCAACATTGTAAAGAAAAATCATCAGATGACTAGACCATCAATTTCATAGAAGCCCACTACATTCCAAGCTTAATGAGACAATTCCGAGGAACTACATGGTACAATGCTACTTTCTGGGAAATTCAAGGCAAGATTTTAGAAGGAAAAAAACAAAACAAGTCAAGATAGGGAGCATGTCAAAGAATAATATACTATACTATAGTACAATGATGATTAGCCATTCAGTCGTATCCGACTCTTGGCGATCCAATGGGCCAACTCTCGCCATGCTTTCTGATCTTCTACTTTCTTTTTCAGCTGTTCAATGCCTAAGTCTGTCACTTCTAATGATATCAAGCCAACGCGTTTTTCTGCTAACTATGGCAAGCATCATTGCATGTTCTTGTGAAGCTGTTCGCATAACAGGGCTGAAAAAGGTAAGACGCAGTTTTGTAATTTTGCCTTCAAGTGACATCTCTGGTTTTATACACTTCAGGACCTCTCTATTGGAAACCCTTGCTGTCCATGGTATTTTCAAGAGCCTTCGCCAACACTATAACCCAAAGACGTCTATCCTCCTTCGATCGTTTTTTTTTCACAGTCCAGCTTTCACATCCATATATTGATATAGTAAATACAATTGCCTGGACTAGTCTACATTTGGTTTTAAGATTTATGTCTTTACTCTTCCAGATTTGTTGCATGCTTAGCATTGCATTATGTCCTAATGATATTCGACACTTTATTTCAGGTGTACCGTCGCCGGTTTGGTCAATCATAGATCCCAAGAAGCAGAACTCCTTAACGCATTCAATTTCCTCTCCATTGATGGTTACGTTAATTAACCATTCAGATCCAGCTGTAGACATTATTTTATTCTTTTTGATGTTCAGGTGGAGTCCCATCTTTTCACTTTCCCTTTGAATTGCTATTATAAGGTGTTTCGGAGCATCCTCGGTTTCTGCTAAAAAAAAGTTGTATCATCAGCATAACGAAGATTGTTGATATTTCTGCCTCCAATCTTCACACCTATGTCAGAATCTTCCAGACATGAATTCCTCATCACTTCAGCATAAAGATGAAAAAGAAAGGGGGAGAGAATACACCCTTGTTTCACACCCCTTTCAATTCTGAAGCATTTGGTGTCGCTATACTGCGTTCGAACAACGGCTTCTTGATCTGTGTAAAGCGATCTTATCAACTGGGTCAGATGAGGTGATATTCCCAATTTTTGAAGTACCTTCCATAGCTTATTATGTTCGACACAATCAAAAGCCTTACTGTAGTCAATAAAACATATATAGATACCTTTTTGAAATTCATTGCATTTTTCAATGATCCATCGCAAATTTGCTATGTGGTCACATGTGCCACGAACTCGGCGGAAACCAGCCTGCACATCAGGTAGTTCTGTTTCTATGATTGGGAGTAGGCATTGCAGAATGATTTTTAGAAGGATTTTGCTTATGTGAGGGATCAAGGCTATTGAGCGATAGTTGCTACAATTCCTTGCATCACCTTTCTTTGGTATTGGTATAAAAACTGACCTTTTCCAATCTTTTGGCCACTTCCTGGTTTCTCAGACCTTTTGGCAAATTGCTTTAATGGCTGCAGGTGGAATTGGCCTCAGCAATTCCGCTTGGATACAGTCAAACCCAGGGGCCTTGTTGTTTGATAGCTGTTGCATCGCACATATAATTTCTTCATTCAAAATGGCAGGTTCTATTTCCACTGGGTCACAGTTGGGTTGTTCTTCAACACTGGTGTTGGAGTATTATATTGTATACTACAATATAATACCCTAAATAGTGCAGACAACACAAATGTAATGACTTAGTTCTTTTCAACAATAAACCAAGTTCTTTGGGTTGAATGAGTTATTCAAACGAAATCAGGGAGTCCGTATTTTAGGGCAGGACATTGATTTTGTAGGGCTGCAACAACGAATCGATTAAATCGATAAAAATCGATTACTAAAAGAGTTGGCAACGAATTTCATAATCGATTCGTTGTGTCGCGCGACGCGGAGACGTTTGATTATTAAAAAAAAAAAAAAAAACTTTGTATTATAACAGCTCAGGGATGTTCAAGGAGCAACATGTTTGTGCACTTTCTAAAGGTTTTAGTTCTGTTTTTGAATAAAGGGTTGGAAATGAATGTTTTTCTTGCTTTTTTGTTTTTTATCCGATTCATCGATTAATCGAGAGAAGAAGAAAAAAAATCGACAGATTAATCGATTATTAAAATAATCGTTAGTTGCAGCCCTATGATTTTGTTTTACATGTAATGTAATAGAAGTATATTATAATAAGAAGTTAAAAAAAGAACCCTTAAAAACGTAAATAACACAAATGGATGGAATTCAAGATCCATTAGTAAGACTCTCTTACAGCTTTACTGACTGCCATCCTCAGCACAGCCTCTCCTCCAAAGCGCCGGGCAATGGCTCTGGACACAGGCACATACGCCATGGGAATGACCTCCACCGGCACACCTTTCTTCCACTGTTGCCCCAGGGCCTTCGAGTCCTTTCTACCCACACAAGCAATGAAATGACATCACACAAACACATCTCAACTTCTAGTGGAAGACTCTCATATAATTCTAGCAATCACAGGCTGGGTTATGATGAAACATCACCACTGTTTCACTACATGCAGTGATCAGCAGTAATTATGGGATGCTAAATATATACCAAATATTGTAGTTCAAACAATAGTTGGAAATGTCACTTTGGATAAAAACATCTGCTAGACACCACATTCATACCTATAGTCTGCAATGACAATAAAGTGTTTGGCACAACCAGCTACAATCTTCTCCTGGGTTAAGCATCCTCTGTTTTGAGGGAGGAAAAGAAAAGGACATGACGCTAGACCTGATGACACCTCAGGGATTTCACACAAATGAAGAGAAATGGAAAAAATACTTGAATTAAACTTTAATTTGCCAATCATACCCTCCTCCTTTAATCAGCGTCAAAGCAGCATCAACCTCATCAGCTCCATCAATCGCTACATCCAGCTAAAAGACAAAAAAAGACTCTCAAAATCAAAATGATTTATTTGTTAGCTCTTCATTAATTCACAAACCCCCTGCAGTTCCCTCATAAAGCCCCAGGGGTTCACAAAAAACCCAGTTTAGGGAAAGCTGATGTAATTAAATTTGGGTAACTGAACTCTTTATGCTGTTCAGGGTGTCATGGGTACTCATGTGATAAATTAATCCAGTCGTAGTAAAGTTTTTTTAGCAAAAAGCTGTTACTTTATTTCGGCCCAACAAATGTTACCTATTGCTATTCCAGCATCAAAGTCAAATCATATATTTAATTGCCCTTTCCAACATAGCATTGTTTTACTAAACTTTTCCATTCTATAATGTTATCTAAGCTAGTTAAGTTGTCTAAGTCATCTTTTTTACCCATTCCAGCTGCCCATCCACATGCAGTCTCGGCCCAAACTCACCTCAGGATGCCTTTCTAAATCAGACAAAGTGAGACCGTGCTGCAGAATCAGCTGACGGGCCTGGATCAACACAACTCAGTTAAGTTAGTTATAAAACACAGGAGTTTTCTAGTGTTAAATGAAGCTCCAAATGAATGAACACTGACCTGGAAAGACGTGGGAACACACACGATATTCAGCTTCTCCTGTCTGACCCTCTCAGCTAGAAAGAAAACATATTTTACTAATTATCACTGTTAAGAGCTCTAAGCATGAGTACGTAATATTAGATCACGTCTTACCCAGCCTATCCACAGCATAGACGATAGTTGAGCCACTGCCCACTCCAACTACCTGATTATTCTGGAAGAGAAATGAAAAGTCACATTTTATAGCATAAGCATAACCCAACCAAATAGTCATACGTCAGACCACCACAACACTGATAATAAAGCCTGAATTCATTCATTTCAACAGGGTCAGTAAAGGAGGTGCTTAACCTTGAGGAAATATTCTTTAACCCAAACAGTTGATAATGGCACTAGAAACAACAAGGTCATGGGTTTGGTTTTCAGAGAATGCATGAAGTGCTAAAATGTACACCTCAGGAGGTCAAACCAATTTTTATATTCATTTTCAAGTAGGTATATAATTCTTACTTTTATATTTAAGCATGTTACTAAATGTATCTAATAGGCATCTCAACAACAACAAAAAATGTGTTCATGACAAGCTTTTTTTACAAGCTACAAGCTTAATCTCAATTTGGAAGCATGCAAGAGTCAGGTGAGGCTTGCAGAAACCAAAGTTCACTTTGCTAGTCCAGTTTTTACCAGATTCACCTTAATCACTCAACGGACCCTAGTGTGTTACAAACAATTAATTATGTATAGTACCCACAGACTGCACCAGTTAGCTATTTCCAAACATGCTAATCGCTAAAGGTTTAATTTGAGCAGAATTAGCATCTTTATCGCTTAGCTTACTGTGTTTAAAACAACCTGCTGCGTAAATAAACACAGGTGCTCAACTGATGCCACCTGAGCCACACTCACTTACTTACTAACGTTAGCTGACTTCACTGTAACATCCCAGCTAGCATGTCTGAAGCTGAAGTGTTAACGTTACATACTATAACTGCCAAAGCCGTTAGCCATAGCAAATACAAAACACCATTACTGCAGTGTTGGCGCGTATTTTAATAACGCTACGTACATCGAGCATCGTGTTTGCTACGCATGTTTATTCACGCCTCCTAAAGTATTTAAAGCACCCGTTTATCCAGTTAACGTTAAACTAATGTAAGTAGCGTTAATGTGTCACTCGCAACTAAGGTAAATACACAATCTCACCTGTATGTGGGTGTCCACAGCAGCATAAGCTGCCAGTTTTTTGGCCTCTTCAGCCATGAGAGTGCCGTGATGCCGCCTGCTGCCGCTACACACTGTTGTTTTTTCCCCGGCGGAGAGAGGAGAAGAGATCTGCTGCTGCTGAACTCAAGCCACCTCCTCCGCGGCCTCATCACACAGCGCCTCCACGACCAACACAACGAGATGCGTGCCTCAATAACATATGTGCACGAGCAGAGGGGTATTAGAGAAGCTGAACTGAACAGATATTAAAGGACGCTCAACATATCAGCTGTCAGATAATTAGTATTAGTAAGATGTTTTCGTAACAGAGCAGAGTACAGTGGATTCCGATTCTGCGCGAGTCGGCTCTTTCAAATGAATCAGTTGCACGAACCGTTTGAGTCGGATCTTTTCATCCAATTGGTTGAAAATATCAAGTCTGATCTTTTTATTAGAGGGAGAGAAAAAAATCGGTCAACAAATCATCGACTGAATCTTGAATCGTCTCTTTCGGACAATATTTCCGATTCGTAATGAGAATCGATTACATTTGGAGTAAACCGAGAAGGTAACCTTAATAACTGATCATAAATTACATGCAGAAATATGTTTTCGGTAGTGATGGTAAAACGAAACTTTCTAAAGAGGATACAACTGTATTGAAACTGGGTTTATTATTGGGTAGGCCTTTATTGTTTATTTTATTTTTATCACACACGAAATTTGGTTTTAATAGCATTTTATTAACAACATCCAGCCGAGAGTTAACAAAATATATTCATATCAGAATGACTTGCCTTTGAATGAGCCGAATCAAGGCTGCAATAATCAAATGAAAAATAAAACGCAATAAACACTGGTAATTGCTTATGTGCAATATGGCTTGGTTGTAAGTATTATTATTATTATTATTACAGCCACTCTATGAATCAGGGACCACGTGTGATGTAAAGAACCGCTGAACCGGTTTTTTTTTTTTTAGATGACTTGTTCAAATGAACCGATTCCCCCCTAGAATCTGTAATGCTGTCATTAACTATACTTAACATGACCAGTAGAGGGCAGTTTATGCCAACATTATTTTTAATTTGTAGTATGGACAAATAAAAAATAAACTGTGGTAATTAGCAATGAAAATCAACTATAACCAACATAAATAGAAAACAGAGGAGAGCTGAAACAGATGGGTATCAATATATCTCTTTATTTGGCAATTAGCTTGAAATGATCTAGATTTCAGTGTATAGCATACCCTATTAAACCCACACAATCCTTCCAATAAACATGTCTCTTATTTACCATAGTTTTTACATATTGCAGTTTACAAATTTAGCTTATCTGTTTGACAAAATCAATTCGACAATGGATCTTTTTTATGTGCTATATAAAAATCTACAGTATACATTCATGATTAGAAAACAAAATTCAAAACGGCACAGAACAGAACTCGTCAACATATCCCACCCAGGTGTGAGCGATCACAAATTAAAGCTGAATACTCCAATATTACAGTAAATACTAAGAGATGTCCAATGACAAACAGGATTACTGAAGGGAGGTTGTTTTTACACCAGAGGTCTGGACTCAAGGGAAGATAGAGAGAGAAACAGCCAAACAGGAATGCTGATTACGCGAGTGGTGCGAGATGTTCAAGAGAAAACCAACTTTTTCAACAGTACATCTAATCTCTCTCTCTCTCCGAAGCTTAAAGCTCTCCATGACAAGAATCAGTCGAGTCTGCTTCTCAGCTTTCTCTAATCTCATATTGCCTATGATTAAGTGCACAGGTGCTCACTTTTTTGCCCAGAGTTAGTCAAACCATGTCTTTTCTCAATTTGTGCGCCTTCGTTTATAACGTCGCTCTCTCTATGAATGTAACATGGTTTGATGGGGCAAAATCATCCGAGATATCTGCGTCTTCCGACTTCTTTTATTCGGAAAGATCACAAACAACTATAAACGATTATAAAGTAGGGATATAAAGGTACTATACCTTCATTTGACAATTATTTCTAGTTGCTTTTAATAATAGCACAACTAATTACATAATAGTAATACAAATCAAAAGTTTCAATGTCTTATAAAAGGCATGCCTTCTCTGTTTTAAATATATTGTGAGATGGATAGACATGAAAGTGTGCGTTTAAGTGCCTTTCTTTTGGGCATTGTTTATAATCATGCCTGTGTGTGTGTGTGTGTGTGTGTGTGTGACTGGGGAAAGAACACAGATGTGGTGTCATGTGATG